CACACACACACACACACACACACACACACACACACAGCATTTAGATAAAAGAAAAAGTAAAACTATTTGTATTTGCAGATGACATTATATATAATAAACCCTAAAGAATTCATACAAAACTATTAGAGCTAACAGGAGTTTAGTGAAGTCACACTATATAAAATCAAGGTACAAAAAATTAGCTATACCTCTGCACATTAGCAAGAAACAATTTAAAAATAAATTAAGAAAAATAATTCCATTCACACATAGGAAAGGGAAGTAATAACTAAAATTAGCAAAAGAAATTAACCAGAAGTAGTATAAAGATCTGAAAAAAACTTTTTGAATAAAATAAAAAACCAAATAAGTTGCAAAATATCAATGCTCATGAATGAGAAGATTTAACATTGAGATGGTAACACCCAAACTAATCTACAAATTCAATGTAATTCCTATCAGAATCTCAGCTGACATCTTTGTAGAAACTGACAAGCTGATTCTAAAATTCGTAAGAAATTCCAAGGACGAAGACAATACTTTCTCCAGTGGATGGTCTTGACACCCTGGCAAGGATCAACAGTTATCTTTTCAACAAATGGTGCTGGTACAACTGGATTGCCACATATGAAAGAATGAATATGGACTCCTACTTCATATGACATACTAAACGTAACTCAAAATGTAAATCTACACATTAAGAGTTAAACTATAAAACTCTAGAAAGAAAAACAGCCTCCAGCATTGGGGAAGCTGAGGCAAGTAGACTGAGTTCATAACTAGTCTGGGCTACACAGCAGGACCCTGTCCCAAAAAAACATAAAACAAAAACAAAAACCCTCAAGAGTAGCAAAATAAACAGATAAAATGGACTCCATCAAATTTGAAGATAATACAAATGGCCAATGAAAAAAAATAGACAGTGTGGCTTACGCGGCATAGCACTTGCCTAGGAAGCACAAGACCAGGAGGTTAATTCCCAGTACTACCAAAAAAAAATTAGGGAAACACAAATCAAAACCAAAATGAGTCACCATTTCACTAAGATGCTATAATAATAACAATAATAATGATAATAATAATAATAATAATAAAAATAGTACTGGTGAGAATGTGAAGAAATTGCAGTCTTTACATTCCCACACTTGGGTGGGAATGGTGCAAGCACTGTGGAAAAACAGCCTTGGCAGTGTCTCAAAAAAAGTAAAACAAAGAGTTACTATATGACCACTATGAATATACTCATAGGTATAATCAAGAGAATTGAAAAATATATTCATTGAACAACTTGCATAAGAATGTTCATAGCATAGCATTAATCATAATATACACAAAACCAAAAGTCTATCAACAGATAAGAAGATAAGCAAATTGTCATACATTCATATACCTTAATATTATTTGTTCATGAAAAGGAATGAAATACTTATGTCATGATATAATAAGAATGAACCTCTGAGCTGGAACAGCTCAAATGGTAGATAGAGCACCTGCCTAGCAAGCATAAGGCCCTGAGTTCAAATCTCAGTACCACACCCAAAAAATAAATTAAAAAAAAAAAAAAACAAAACTTAAAAACTTTGAGCTAAGTCAAAGAAATCAGATAAAGAACGCCATGTATTAAATGATTCTACATATCTGAAATATTCAGATAATCAGAAGTAAATCTATAGAGGCAGAAAGTAGATTAGTGGTTGCCAAGGGAATGGGGAAGAGAGGAAGGAGTGATGAGGCTGAAGGATAGGGCTTCTTTTTCAGGTGATACAAATGGCTGGAATTAGCAGTGACAGGTGCGTAACACTGTGAGTATGCTAAAAATTGTTAAATCATAAGACTGGAGGTGTGGCTCAAGTAGTAAACAGAATGCTTGCTTTGCAAGTGCAAAAACAGTTCAAATCCCAGTCCCACAAAAAAAAAAAAAAAAAAAAAAAAGATCAAAATCATTAAATTGTTAAAGTGGTCAGTAGTATGCTGCATGATTTTTATCAAAAACAAAAAAGATCTACGTCAAAAAATACAAGACACGGATTAATACAAAATTTGGAATAGTGCTTACCTCTAAAGGAGGAAGAATGGGATTGGATCATGAAGTTATTGTTAATGATTTTTCTTAAACTAAGTGGAAGATACACAAGTTGGGCAAAACTTACCGTAAATGGTGTTGAATTTTATGATTTTTTAAAATTTTGAATCTTTTTTGTTTTTTATTTTTGAGACTGGGTCTTACTATGTAGCCCAAGCTGTCCTTGAACTTGAGGTCCTCCTGGCTCCACCTCGCAAGTGCTAGGATTGCCATGCATGCCCCATCATGTAGATCTTTTTACTTGCAGTGCTGGGATTGCCTAAGGTCTCACACATACTAGTCAACCACTCTACTGCTGAGCTACAGCTCCAGCCTTTGCATCTGCTGAGATGATCACATAAAACATTTACCTTTAATCCCTTTGAAGGTGATTATATGAATTGATTTCTAACATTAATTAACCTTGCATTTGTGAGATAACTAGGTCATGGTTTATCATAATAGAATGTCTTGTGTTTTTTTTTTTGTTTTGTTATTTGGTCTTTTGAGACAGGGTTTTTTGAGACAGCCCAGGCTGGTCTCAAACTGGAGATTTTCCTGCCTTAGCCTCCAAAGTATTGGGATTACAGATGTTTGCCACCATGGCCTGCTTGTTTTCCTAGTGTTTTAAGATTTGTATCTGTGCTATGAATGTGTCGATAATTATCCTCCTACTGTCATTGTCAGGTTTCAGCATCAAGTTTATGATAGTTCCTCAATGAATGAGCTAGGAATGTTTCTTTACCTATAATTCTCTGGAAAATAAGAAACTGTTGGTTAAGACTGAAGTTATTGGGCTGGGGGAGGGGCTCAAGTTGTAGGACGCCTGCCTGGCAAGTACAGGGTCCTGAGTTCAAATCCCAAACTGCCAAAAAAAAAGAAAAAAAGATTGAAGTTCTTTGTTCTGTGATTTTTTTTTCTTCTTTTTAAGACAAGGTCTCATTCTGTTGTATAGGCTGGCCTTAAACACCCTCCTGCCTCAGGCTTCCAAATGTATGTACCACCATGTTTGACTTGATATTGGTTTTCTATGTTTTTTCTTAATAATACAATAAGTATATGAAAGAACTTTTGGTTTTATTGTATGTCTTATTTGATTCATTTCTGATCTTGTGTTCATTATTTTTTTCCTTTTATATTCTTTGGGTTTATTTTGGCATTGTTCTTCTACATTTCTGAGGAATGTTTACTTCATTTATTGCCAGCTCTTCTTTTCTAACATAAACATTTGAGGATGTATATTTGTAATCAGGCATCATACTGCTTTAGCTTATCCTGTAAGTTTTGACATACTGTGTTTTTATCTTTCAGTCCAAAATATTTTTGAACTACCAGTGTGATTTCTAACCTGATGGGAGTATATAAAAATGTATCTTAATTTCCAAATATAAGTTTCCCTTATCTTTTTTAAAAACTGATTACTTTGTGGTTTGATAACCTGGTTCCAGTTCGTTGAAACTTTTTGATACTTGGTTGCTAACCAGGACGTATTTTTAAAGTTTTGCTTGTTTGTTTAAATAACTGTTTGATATAGTATCAAATCCAGGGCCTGAAACATGTTTGAGAAGTGCTCTATCACTGAGCTACATACATTTCCAACATGACATTTCTTAAATTTCAAAGTGACTAGGTAAAGTATAGTTTTATATAACCATTAGGTAAAATTTGTTAATTGTGTTGTTTGAATCTTCTAAATAATGTTTCTAAATTTTTATGTTTCTGCTACGAATTACTATTATAGAGGCATATTAAAATCTTCTATAAGAGTAGTTTTTATTTTTTTGGTGCTACAAGTGTTAGAACTCAGGGCCTCTTGCCTGTTAGGTATGTGAACCACACACCCCATCCCTCAGGTTTTCTGAATTTTCTTAAAAAAATTTTTTTGGGATAAGAGCTCACTATGTACCCCTGGCTTGGCTTTGAACTTGTGATCCTCCAGCTTCAGCCTCCCAAGCGCTAGGATTATAGGCATGTGCCACCACGTCTGCCTTAGTTTTGGCAGTTTTTAATTGATATATTTTGAGGCAATGTTTAAATGCATATAAATGTAAAGCGTTTACCTTACCGGTGAACTCTAGTGATACTATCTTCCTTAATGTCTATTTTATCAGACAAAAGTCACAACGAGCTTTGTTTAGATTTGCCTGATAGGTATTTTCTTCCACCTTTTTATTTTCAATCTCTCTTTAACCTTATGCTTTAGGTACATTAACTGGTAAATGGCCTGTAGTTGGATTTCCTTTTTTTCCATTTTGGTTTAGCAATCTTTGTACTTGTACTGGAGTATTTATTTAGTCCAATGGTTTACAACTTGTCTGTACACAAAAACCATTTGGGAAATTTTAAAATATAGGTGGTGGTGGGAAGTGTAAAAGAGGAGGATTGAGGTCTAAGCCAGCATGGGCAAAAGGTCATATCCTACCTCCAAAATAACCAGAGCAAAAAAAGCTATAGGTAGTCCAGCACTGGCGGCTCATGCCTGTAATCTGAGCTACTTGAGAAGCTAAGATCAGGAGGATCATGCTTTGACACTGGCCAGGGCAAATAGTTCTTGAGACCTCCCCCCATCTCCAAAAATAACTAAAGCAAAATGGACTGAAGGTGTGGGTCAAGTAGTAGAATGCCCACCTAGAACAAAACCCTGAGTTTAAACTCCAGTACCAAAAGAGAAAAAAAAAAGTAATTCTTTTAATGCTACTATCACTTGCTTTCCTGGTGTGAAAGACATTGTGCTTTCAAACACTAACTAATATAATCTTTATATTATGAAGTATTACGAAATATTACTACTTCATATAGTTTTTACAGAGGCAACAACAGAAAAGTAACTAAAACTCAACTACCAATGAACCACCAGATGTAAACAAATAATGTCATCCAAGAAATTCTTTTCACTAAAAATGAGTATCTCTTCTTCAGTGTCAGCATGCCTCACATAAGAATGACTTTGTGTAAGTACCTTGTACTTTTGTCTCAGCTCTTCTGTGTCTTCTTTTTCTACTTCTAGGACACGACGCCGTTCGGTAGCATCTTCAGCATAATCAAGCTTGACGAAAACAGATATATTTAGTTTCATTTCCTAAAGTCCCCGTACATTAGCTATGAAAAAGTCATTTGCACAATTATGATATTGTTTGAAAACAAAAAATATGTGTTTTGCTCAGCTATCTCTTGCTTTGCCACCTCACAGAGAAAACAAGCAAAACAGTTCCTTAGTCCTTTCTTCCTGATGGTTTTCAACAGACATATTTGTTGATTGTAATAGACTTCAGTTCAATGTTCACTGCTAAAGAATTAAGAGTAAATGAAGAAAACATTTTAGGTAATAAAAAGCAGGTATCAGAGATAACAGCTCTATACAATTCTGCACAGGAAAAGCACCTATCACAGCAAAAATTTTAAGAGTTGATTAACACTGCCTAGTGAAACAAGTACCAGGGTCTGAGTCTATGTCTGATTTTGCACTGCTGTATAAGTAAACTTTATATGCTCCTTAAAACAAAAACATTAAAACTGTGTTTCTTCTTATAAATATATTTATTGCACTGGCATCTGAATTTGGAGTTAATATTAATTTTTAAGTATTTCATAAAATGAGTGAGTCAATTTACCTCCATTTCCATGCGACCCATGCCCATGACATCATACTTGACAACAATTGGAATAGGATCTGTTCTCCCTGTAATAGGAACATAGAATCAAGGTAAGAGAAAGCTAAGCCAACAGCTCACTTTACACATTAGGTTTGGGTGGTTAGAGATCTTGCCTTGGAGTGCAGAGACCAGAAAGCTACAGTGAACCAAACACAAGCCATTCTCACAGCTTACAGCCAATCCTTCCTTTCCAAGGTTAAACCCAGCTAGCACTTTGGTTTACCTTCCAGTTGGGGATAATTCCAGATTACTATGGCAAAACTAAATAAGTAATACAAAGTAATTCTAAGCAATGGGACTAGGAGAATTAAAATTAAAAATACTAGAAGCTCTTTTTTAAAAAAAAGATCTCCAAATAACTTCCCATCAAGAATCACTTCACTCTATCCATTGATATCCTCACCCACATACTGAAAACTGGTAATAAATATTTCAACTGACATGCTTAAGTAGGAAAAGTACATTTTCAAACCTGAATCAGGAAAACTCTAGTTACAAATTAGCAAATTTAATTTTTTTGTTCTCAAAAGATGCTTTACAATTGAATGGGACTATGAAAATTTGAAATAAAAAGCAAGTTAGTTGCTCTTAGGGACAAACAGTAGTTTTAATTTAGTGTCTCAGGTTTCATTTCCCAGAGTGGATGTAACACTGGCTATAGTAATTGGTAAGCTGTGAAAAGGACTAGTTGCGAAGAAAATTGACTTTAAACTAATTGATCTATGCTGGAGATTTTTTAAATAAATAATATTTAATCCACTCATAACCAGCCAAACAAAGCAAAATGGGGCAGACAAGCACTTTACTACCACAGCTGTTTTACATCACAACTTGTGCTGTTCATTGTGATGTAAGCCCACTGAAAAGAGGACTTACCTTATCCGTTGCAAACCTTTAGTGAAAAACATAACGTTTACTTCCTTCATTATTTCACTCAGGCTGGTATAAACAATTGTTTGTTGTTGTTGTTATATACATATATATATTATACCTTTGGGCTAAATATTGAGTTTTGTCAAGCTAAATCTGATGCATTACCAAAAACAAATTTAAAAAAAAAAAAAAAGCAAGATATTGACTAGCATGGGTCCTGCAGAAAAAAAAAGAAACCCTTTTCAAAACAACCAGCAACCACTTATATCCAGTGGTTCTAATGGAATGAATTTTTGTCTTAAAAACACAATGAAAAAAATTCATCAGTTTACTTATAACCAATGCCAATTATTGCTTTTACACAATAAATAGGGAGGTAGTAAGGAATTACCATAGTTTTAAAAAAAATACCTGTTTACTAAAGAATAACTTTTTTCTTTTTTTTTTTGGATGGTGGTACTGGGGTTCAAATTTAAGGCCTCTCACTTGCTAGGCAGGTGCTCTACACCTGAGCCATACTCCCAGTCCAAGAATATTTTGTGTGAGAAAGAAAAGAGAGGAAAAAACCTCCAAAAACAAACAAACAAACAAAAACCTTGAACACAGCCTTTCTTTTTAGATAATACCAAAGAGTGCAAATAAAACAAAATGAAAATACATTACTACCTTATGCCCAATGGTATAATAAATAAGCAGTGACTGCAATCTTTAGCAAAAGGACCAAATTAAAGACAGGTTATAAAAATGACTTCCTCGGTGCAATATCACTTTCATAACGTCTCAATCAGGGATTTACTGGTAAAAACAAATGGTCTAATGAAAGAATTGAAAACAAACATCAAAGAAATTTATTTTGGAATATTTTTGATGTGTCAGAATTTGTGTTCATAAGAATCAAGAAAGTTTTGGTACAAATTCATTACCTCTGTAAACCCCTGTTTATAAACTCTGCATTAGTACTTTTGCCTTCTAAGGCAGTCAAAGTTTGTTTTAATTTATTTATAAATTGCAGTAGCAAGTGCTAGTGCCCATTACATTGGAGAGGGGGAATCAACTTTTTGACAGTATTAGAATTTAATATTTTAACTGATTTTTTGGCAGTTCTAACATAAACAGATACATCCCTTCTTAACATTACCCTTTAATGAACAAGGATCAGACAAGTTGCATAAGGAAAAGGAAAGGAAAATGAAAAAGACCAAGCAGAAGGATGAAGGCTACAACAGAGAAAGTAAGCCTAACATATTGGTGCACTGATGACAAAAGGAGTAATTCAGTCTGAAAATAAAAAATTACCACTGCTAAGTTTACCATCACCACAACAAGTCCAGGATCATAATGCTGTAAAAAAGAAACACCATTTGTTAGGCAGAAACCATTAGGGTAGGAAATAGGCCTTCTAGCAGGCAGACAGGATAGGGTAAAGTACCAATTGGGCTTTGTCCCTCCCCCAGTTTCAGCTGAGTGCAGAAGGACATTTTGTACTGCAACAGCTGTTTTCATACTGGTCAGACCAGGGTGTGAGATTTTTGTACTGATACTTGAGAGCATAAACAATCTCCTCTTCAATAATGCAGGGGTTTGGGGGATGGGTTCGGATGTCACTTTAAAGTGAAAAAACTAGCTTTAGCTTCTAGTCTCTCAAAACTATTCATTCCAGTGAATCAGTATTTGGGACCCAAGATGGGACTTTTCCCTAAAGAAATCACAACAAAGATTGGATGGGATCAATTGGACAACTGCTTTGCTAAAAGAAACACAGAGAGCTTGGAGAGGTAGTGTTTCAACACCTCTGTAAAAATGTTTAACAATTAGAGGTCTAGAAAACAACCTTAGATGTTCAATGCATGAACAAAGTTGTGCATTTGAGTTCTATCATTAATGAATAAAACTGGCTCCCCTCAGATCTTTACTTTCTGTTAACGAGGAGGACTTCCCAGGCCCACCAACATCTATCTGTATGCAGGAGATAAAGTCAACCTTTGAAGAAAAGCTAAAAAAAAAAAAAAAAAAAAAAAACAGGCATCATAATGAACCATCACATTTGCACTTTCTCCACTTAAACAGTTAACTCATAGAAAATAAACTGTCTAGCTTTCAAAACAATCTGAAGGTGACATTGTTGCCTGGACCAAGAAGTAATTTCTTAGCATTATTAAAGGGGCTACAGACCAAGAAAAAATCACAGTGGGAAAAGACACCAAATAATACATACAAGAAGAGCACCATTTTTGTTGTTTTTTTAAAAAAAAACTTATTTATTATCCATGATAAAGTCTATCATAAAGAGCATCACTTGGAATACCTAAATAACAATTTGCAGTGATGAGTTTTTAAAAGGTAAAGTAGCAACAGAATATCTGGTAATATGTATTCTCTAGAAAAGTCAAGGTTTTTTAAATAACTAAATCCAGAATCTCTGTTTCTTGGTTTCTTTTAAGCTGTGGCAGATATTAAAGTCCTTTAAATTATTAATAATATTTTTTTTGTTTATTGATGTATTCATCTGATTGAAAAAACTGATCTTTGTGCTTGCTTCGGCAGCACGTATACTAAAATTGGAACGATACAGAGAAGATTAGCATGGCCCCTGCGCAAGGATGACATGCAAATTCGTGAAGCGTTCCATATTTTTAAAGAAAAAAAAAAAAAGAAAAAAAAAACTGATCTTTTCTCAAAACTGTAAATGTTTTACTAATCAACTGGAATTTAACTGTTTACATTTTGTTTTTTATTTTTTTGTGGTGCCAAGGATCAAACCCAGGACCTTGCAAATGCTCTACCATTATACTTTCAGCTCTAATTGTCCACATTTTAAAGAACAGTTTTACTTCTACTATGACAGAAATTATTAAATGCTCTTTTTTTTTTTTTAAAAGCCTAAAGCACCCAGTATTCCCAGGTGGTCCCCCAACAACTAAACAGACCCGACCCTGCTTAGCTTCTGAGATCAGACAAGAGCTAGTGTATTCAGGGTGGTATGGCCATAGACTAAATACTTTTTTATTACAGGCTCTGACTAAAACTCAAGGGCATTATGACTTATAACTAAAGAGTGAATAAGGTATGAAGCTGAGCATGGTAGTATACACCTGTAGTCACAGCTACTGGGAAGGCTATGGCAAGGGGACTGCTTGAACCAAGGACTTTGAGGCCAATCTAGATAACATAGCAAGACCCTGTCTCAAAAAAACTATCACTAGCAGCAAAAATTGAAAACCCATTATCTATAACCATCTTGTCTCTGTGAGCAGGGCCTCAAGAACTAGTTTTGAGTATGAAGCAGTTAAGGATGTATCAATCTAGAAAACTGGCATAAAGAGCTGGACTATAGAGAAACACTTATATTTTTCTTTTTGAAGAAACACTATATTTACGGAGACAAATTCTAGCAAAAGAAAATATTAAAACAGGATCATAATTTGGTGATCTGTCGCACTTTAGAAGGCTATCATTTCCTTACAGAAATAAAGAACCTTCTAAAATAATTATAACACTAATTAGATTCTAAACAGAAGAATTCCACAATGTATTTCTGTTGTCTTTCCCCCTAGGTAGATTAACTCAGCACAAGTATTTATTACAAATATTGATTAGCTCCTACTATATATAGGCACTGCTGTAGGAATTGAGCATATAGCAGTGATGAAGAAAAAGTGTTTTGTCCCCAAAATTATCATTAGGCAAAATAATGTCACCAGTTTGAACTTCTAACATGACAGGGGAAGAAAACAGAATATCTGTGGAGTTAATTTATAAGCAGTTCAAAAAGCTGGCTGAAGCTGACTCTAAGGTCTGACCCTAATAAAGCAGAGGTAAATATAAAAGCCATCAAGGAGTGACAAAATCCAGTTCCAAAAGACCCAAACTTATAAAGGCCAAGATTCTGCCCTGGCATATTTCTTACCTTAAGCAACTCAAATACATATGCGAAAATCAAGAATAATATAAAATTGAGAAGGCGACTATTTGGTGCTTTCCAAGTATTCAAAATAGGACTCTAATGAAAGTTTATTAGTGTGTTTAAATGTAATTTCCTTTATTAAAACAGTGATTATATTCAACTTTCAGGAACACTGAACAAATCGTGTCATTTCTAAACCAAAGTTTCACTTTTGTAAATTTCTACGGAAAATGACACTGTTCGTTGCCATGAAAAAAAACACAAATGATTACTTTCAGAATCATTTAGATATTTTTCTTAATAACTATTAACATGATATATGCTACCTCTTAATAAACACTAACTAGAAGCATAGAGCACATTAATTATTCCTTTCAGAGTTTTTTTTTGGTGCTACAGGAGTTTGAACTCAGGACCTCACACTTGCTAGGAAGGTGCTATATCACTTGGGCCACTCTTCCAGCCCATTTTCTGTGTTGGGTATTTCCAAGATAGAGTCTCAAGGGTTATTTACCTGAGCTCTCCTGCTCTATGTCTGCATCCCAAGTAGCTAGAGTTACAGGTGTGAAGCACCGCCAACCAACCCCTTCAGAAATTTTAATTTTTTTTAAAGACTTTCTACTCAAAATAGAGTCCAAATTATCCAGTATTATGAAACCTAACTATATTCTTCCCATGATCTGTTTAATGACCTACAGAACAACCAGACAAATTTGACTTTCAAATATAGGCACAGAAATTAAATTGTGACCTGAAGAATCAACATCAAGTATTTTAAAAAGTATGACAGCTAGTTTTCTAGGTTAACATAGTTCAACTTTAATCACATAACCTCACATGTTAATAAGAGACGGACAAAGGTGAGGCAAAGGCAGAGGTGTTAGGGAATCAGAATGTTAAGCCTGGAACATGAGTTCCTCAAGCCTTAGAAGACGCAATAAAGAGAACTCATGAAGTATTTTTATTTTTGTTTTTATGTTATCACATTATTGTTGTACTAGAGGTATATTGTGACATTTGCAATGTATCTTAGTTGAATTCAACCTCTCCATCATTCTACTTTCTCTCTCCCCCAACCAAGGTACTTTTAATTAAGCAAAGAATAATAACCTAAAGGAAATCATACGTTTTTACATAAGACCTACTAAAATTACATTAAGTCACTGAAGGCTATCTTATTCTAACCACTATGCAATGGTCAATTTATTGTTTAATTGGAAAAAGCCAATTTAAATAAATATAATTTGGGGGTAAACAACCCAAAACATGAGATTTAGAAGGGGTCAAAACAACAAGTACTCGAAATAATAACCTAAAGGAAATCATACGTTTTTACATAAGACCTACTAAAATTACATTAAGTCACTGAAGGCTATCTTATTCTAACCACTATGCAATGGTCAATTTATTGTTTAATTGGAAAAAGCCAATTTAAATAAATATAATTTGGGGGTAAACAACCCAAAACATGAGATTTAGAAGGGGTCAAAACAACAAGTACTCAGTTTAAAAAAAAAAAAAAAAAGTGGGTAGAACTTGTATACTGACTTTTGAGCCCAAGATGAAGGGTGGAGTCCTTTGAATGTTGTAGGAAAAATGGGGGGGGGGGAGTTGAAGAGAAGCGAGTAGTATACTCCAAACATGTATGTGGACCACTTCAATCTATGTGGGTATCTCTTAAAGAATTCCAAAAGAGCACACAGATTGATGACCTGGAACTCAGTGCAACTATAGTTCTATCATTAATTAAGCATATGACAAATCATTAGCTATCTTAGTTTCATGACTCGAAAATAAAGGAGTTATACAGATTTAATAATATATGTGGTTTACTTCAATTCTTAAGTTTGAAGGGTAGAAAACATTTAAGGGAATGATATGGATGGTGGCCAATTCATGGTATTATAATAATCCAATACTCCAATGTCTTCTTAGATTTGTAGCTCTTACTATTGGTTAAGTGCTCCATAGCCACATCGAGAATTTTTTTACAATTTCAGGATTACTCTACAACCCCTAAAGACTTTCCAGCTGTATTTAAACAGCTCTTCCTTTACCTTCCACAATAACCACTCTATAGTATTCTATCTGTAATTAATTCCTTTCTACATTTTTCTAGGACTATTCCTAAAAAAAAAAAAAAAAAAAGAGCCTGGGCTACAAAAATCTCAGTTCTCCATCATTCTGAGTGAGGTTAGCCTGGCTCAAAAAACCAAAAATCGTATGTTCTCCCTCATATGTGGACATTAGATCAAGGGCAAACACAACAAGGGGACTGGACTATGAGCACATGATAAAAGCGAGAGCACACAAGGGAGGGGTGAGGATAGGTAAGACACCTAAAAAACTAGCTAGCATTTGTTGCCCTTAACGCAGAGAAACTAAAGCAGATACCTTAAAGCAACTGAGGCCAATAGGAAAAGGGGAACAGGTACTAGAGAAAAGGTTAGATCAAAAAGAATTAACCTAGAAGGTAACACCCACGCACAGGAAATCAATGTGAGTCAATGCCCTGTATAGCTATCCTTATCTCAACCAGCAAAAACCCTCATTCCTTTCTATTATTGCTTATACTCTCTCTACAACAAAATTAGAAATAAGGGCAAAATAGTTTCTGCTGGGTATTGAGGGGGGGGAGAGGGAGGGGGTGGAGGGGGTGGTAAGGGAGGGGGTGGGGGCAGGGGGGAGAAATGAACCAAGCCTTGTATGCACATATGAATAATAAAAGAAAAATGAAAAAAAAAATCTCAGTTCTCCAATAAGAGATAGGATCTAAAAACGTGGGTGACTTTTTACAACCAAAGCATGAATCTCAATAGCCTGCCCTGCAAAATGAAGATATCCTCACTTCAGGACTGGTATGCAAATAAAAGAGATCACAAATGCAAGATACAGATGCTTAATGAAACTTAAATCCCTAAACAGAATGTTACTGAACAATAGTCATCTTGAGGCTTTAGGATTTCTTTTAAAAGCCATCCTTTTATTTCCAACGTGGGTGCTTTTGAAAATAAATGATAAAATAAAAGATACTCTAAAACAGGAGCTGTGACAAATTCCAATGTTTTACGTACCATTTGTTGTTAATAGAACAAAGTCATTTATGGATGGAGAAGATAATTATCTAGGATCAATAACTGAAGTATTACCCAAAAATTCTTCCCATATATCATTAGCCAAATTAGTGACAACTGAGTTTGAAAAGGAATGTTATACAAATACTCAATATAAGTCAAGAGAATGAATTTAGAGCAACATAATTTTTACCAAGACTTTCTCAAAATTAATGTACAGTACAGATTATGTAAGAAAATACAGTGGCATGTGCCTATAGACTCATATGACACAGGAGGATCACTTAAGCACAGGAATTTGATGCCAGCCCCAATACATATGTATATGTACTGAATGGTGAAAGACACTAATCCACGATGTATTAAATTGTAATAGATGAAATCCATGCAGAATCTAAGAAAGAGTAAACTGGCCAGGCTTAGTGACTCACATCTGTAATCCAGATACTCAGGAGGGGAGATTGGGAATATCACAGATCAGCTCAGGCAAAAAAAGTTGGTAAGAACCCATCTAAATCCATAAAAGCTGGGTATAGTGGTATGTGACTATCATCTGAGCTACACAGGAAGCATAAATAAGAGAACTGTGGTCCAGGCCAGCCTGGGTATAAACACAAGAACTTATTCAAAAAAATAAAGGAAAAAAAAAAAAAAAGAGCTGGGGGCATGGCTAAAGTGGTACATTGCCTACCTCACAAGTTCAAGGCTCCGAGTTCAAACCCCAATATTGGGGGGAAAAAAATCAGAAAATAGAGTAGATTTAAATGACCAAAAGAATACCCCTTCTTTCCTTGGAGTCTCTGCTAAGATCCCTCAAAATTTCTCTTCCAATTCTTAAAACTCTATGATTCCATATACCTCTGAAAGTACTTTTTGCTCCTCTTTGTGCCTACTTATGAAATATTAACTACTGAGTTTTTGTACTTTCAATTATTTCCACCTGACAGTTACAAAGAAACCATTATCACAATATACCATACATTGCTTCACTTAAACAAAAAAGAAAAAGAAAAAAGTTTTTTTGTCCTTTCTAAGCCATCATCAACCAGGAAACTGCTATCAGGATGCAGGTGTCCATAAAAACCCTGGGGCTGGCGGAATGGCTCAAGCAGTAAGAGTGCCTGTCTAGCAAGCATGAGTCCCTGAGTTCAATCCCCAGTGCCACTGAAAAACAAAAACAAAACAAAACAAAACAAACAAACAAAAAAAACCCATAAAAACCCTGAAGGATGCCAGCACCACCAAAACAAACCAACCAGTCAACCTAAGGGAAAGACCATTATGCTCACGCCTAAAACCTCAGATAATACAAAATATAATAAAAGGCCAAAATCCAGGATAAGGAATTCCTTCTGAATCAGCAAAGGATGAGATTTGCTTGTAAGCTACTACAAGATGAATGCACTTTGTACATAATGGTCTAAAGGAGTCCATCCTTCATCTTCTGTTCAGACTGCATAGTACTGCTAAGAAAACAAAGTTTTATACCACTTCCAAGAAGACAAAACCTAAAATCAAGAAAGTTAGAGCCAAGAGTGATAGACATACTGTAATCCCAGCCTTTGGGAAGCTAAAGGCACAAGGATCAAGAGTTCAAGGCCAGTCTGGCTACACAGTGAGACCCTGTCAGGAAAGGAAAGAAAGGAAAGGGGAAAGGGCGAAAGGGGAAAGGGAAAGGAAAAGGGGAAAGGGGAGGGGAAAGGCAAAAGGGAAGGGGAAAGGCAAAAGGGAAGGGGAAAGGGAAGGGGAAAGGGAAGGCGAAGGGAAGGGGGAAGGGTAGGGAAAGGGGAAGGAGGAAAAGGGGAGGGGGAGGGAGGAAAGAAGGTTAAATTGGCTGCCCTGAAATACTGTAAGGTAAATGAAGATGAAATGGCAGAATTAGTTGACTTCATGAAGAGTGCCCTTCAGATAAATGTGATGCTGGAGAATGGCCAGCCAGTTTGACAGACATTACTATGGCAAGTTTTGTCTGACTTCATGCTTCAAAAGGCCTAAAGACAAATAATTGCATATGAGTTAATAAAAAAATTTCTTGGCACCTCCACTTTGTAGCTAATTATCCTGCTTTACCAGATTCATTTTAATCATGCAAATTAAACAAGGGCAGGATGTCTGTAAGTAATAAGGTGGGAAACAATGTAAATCAGGCCAAGGATAAAACTAAAGAAAAATATATAGCATTGTACTACATGAGACCAAAAAACTCACTAGTACATTTTGGATGAGTTTAAAAAAACAACTGTCTCCTTGCTATAATAAAGGTGATTTTCTTAAAAGCCTATTTTATTTATTGAGTCCAAAGCAATGTTCTTTCAGCTATGGTCCATTCCACTGCATTACAATTTTAGGGGGAGCTTATTTAAAATGTAACTTCCTAAACCTCATTCCAGACCTAGTTGAGTTGTGCTGGTTGGAAATTTGTATTTTAAATAAGGCACTCAAGCAAATTTTGCTAAGAACTATAGGTCTAATAATAGACTTCGAGAAAGCACTGACTGAAGTAGAGCTAAGAAGATTTGTACAATAAACTAGCTCTATCCTTACCAGTTTTTGTTGCTGTTGTTATTGTTTTTGGTGGTACTGGGGTTTAAACTCAGGGCCTCATGCTTGCTAGGCAGGTGCTCCACCATTCGAGGCCACTCCACCAGCCTCCTTACTAGTTTGACCTCAGATACACATTTAAGTTCCTTAATCAAGTGGCACTGTACTCTACTACAGAGACTTAAGATGAAAATGAGATACACAGGCACATAAAACATGTATGCTATTATGTTTCATTCTAGGAACAATCCCAACTCTTTTAAAAATAAGGATAAGGTCTAAGGTGTAGCTTAATGGTAGACCTTGACTATCATGTGCAAGGCCCTAAATTTGATTCCTATCAAAGAAAGGAGGAAGGAAGGGAGCAAGGCAGGAAGAAAAAAAAGGAAAAAAAGAAAAAGAGGAAGAGGAGATGAGAGGAGAAAGGAAAAGAGAAAGAAAAGGAAAAGGGTATACTTAGCAAGGTCGCAGTGCATAGGTGGAATTTAAACCTAGGTCAAATTTCATGATTTTTTTTGTTGTTTTAATTTGATTTGTTAATATAGCTCAGGCTGGCCTAAAATTGGAGATCCTCCTCCCTCAGTCTCCCAAGTGCTGGGCCCAAGTAAAATTTCAACTGAGTTCAGAAAGTAGTAACCTATAGGTCAAATATAGGATCTGGCATAAGTTTTATTTGTCCTACATGATTTTAGACTTTGAGCCATTTGTCTATTAGGAAGTTTCACAGGGAAATCTGAATTTCTACTTTCCTTTAAAAAGTTCAGGGATGGCAGGCCGGGGGCTGGTGGCTCATGCCTGTAATCCTAGCTACTTGGGAAACAGAGATCAGGAGGATCACGGTTTAAAGCCAGCCCAGGCAAGAAGCTTGTGAGACCCTATCTCAAAAATACCCATCACAGAAAAGGACTGGCGGAGTGGTTCAAGGTGAAGGCCCTAAGTTCAAGCCCCAGTACCGCCCCCCCCGCCCCCCGACCCTAGGAAAAAAAAAAAAAGTTCAAGAATGGGAGTGTGGCTAAAATGGTAGAGCACCTGCCCAGCAAGCTTGAGGCCCTGGGTTCAAACCCCAGTACTATGCCAGCTAGCCACCCCTCCCCGCCCAATAATACCAAGTTCAGAGGATGTGCGTGACATGGTGGCACACACCCAAATTTCCAGCACTTATCATGAAACTGAGGCAGGATGATTGTGATTCTGTGGCCAGCATGGTTACGTGGTAAGATCCTGTCTCAAAAAAAAAAAAAAAAAAATCAGATTACCACTGAGATGCCAACATTTAGCAGGATCTGAGTGGCCATTATTCTTCTCTAATCATGGCATAACCACTTCCTATTGTGAGCCTGAACTGTGCATGTGACCAGCAGGCACTATACTGCTTGAACCACACTTCCAACCCTATTTGCTCTGGTTAATTTTGAAGATAGGGTTTTGCTTTTTGCTCAGGCTATATGGACAAGGACCCTCCTATTTTTTGCTTCCTGAAGTCATTGGGATGACAGATGCACACCACGACTGTCAGCTTTTTTCTGGTGAGAAGGGGGTCTTGCAAACTTATTTGTTGGAGTTGTCCTGGAACCTCAATCCTCCTAATCTTAGCCTCCCTTTTAGCACAGGATGATGACAGGCATATACCACCATGCCCAGTTATTGGTTGAGATGGGGTCTTACTAACTTTTTGCCTGGGCTGGTCTTGAACCAAGATCCTCCCCACTTCCACTTCCACCAACAGCTGGAATTACAGAAGTAAGCTACCACACCCAGCCTAAAAGGATTTCTTATAAAAAGCGCTTTTTACTTTGTGTTCTTATAATCTTCACATTTTTTCCTATTTTAAAATAACCATTGTTCTTTATGGAAGAGACTCTACCACCCCACGGATACCTATGCTGCATGAATCTTTATCTACTAGCAAGCTCAGGTGGGCAAATGAGAAATTGTTGTTCTTCTTCCTTTTCTCACAATCTGAGGTTTTTTACATGTTAAATTGTTACAGAAATCAACTGAAATTCTAAGTTGAATTGTTCAATTTTCTATTAATCCCCCATTTTAATATCCATTATACTGTAACATATTTATTTCTTACATATGTCTCCCTTTTAGACATGAGCAGACAGACAGAGGTTATACCTTATTCACACTTGAAGAATTAGTACAGATCTGGAACATTCTCAGGAATCAATAAACGTATTACAGAATAAAAACCATGAAAAGTAGCAACAGAAAACACAAAGACACAGTTACTATCCCTTAGAAGCTTATTGTCTAATAAGGGTAAAAGAGACATAAAAATTGTACAAGGTAGAGAAATCAAGGAGGAAATTTAGTATAAGACACGTGTTGTAGTATTTTCTTTTTTCCTGGAGATCAATTACCATTCCTAAAAAACTGGTTAAGGTTCTTTTTCTTTTCTTTTTATGGTCAAGGTCCTTACCTCTCAATTTATTCTGAAGTTTCTTGTGAATTTTATATTAATCATGAGGAAAATGTGTATGTATATAAATCACTTTAAATGCACTAAGAAAATATCACATTCAGAACTACCTCCATTTTTTTTTCTTGCCTAGAATACTACATTATATTTCAACTCTATAGAGATTAAAGGTGTCTGCACCTACAGTTTAGGTACATTACAGTAAACTGATTGAAAGCATAACTTGGGCTGAGGATGTAACTCAGTGGTGGAGTGCTTACCTAGCATGTGCAAGCAAGGCCCTGGGTTTGATCGCCAACACTGCTAAATAAATAAATAACCTGTATGAGGTCTCACTCCCTTTTTGTTTTTGGCAGTAATGGGGTTTGAACTCAGCATTTTGTACTTACTAGGCAGGTACTCTGCCACTTGAGAGTGCCTCTTGAAAGTGTCTCTTTTACCCTCCAGCCCAGGCCCAAAGGACTCTCTTTAAAAAACAAAAACAAACCACATAGGTCTTGGCACCAGATCATACACTTATTTGTTATAAGGTCTTGGGCAAACTATTATTTAGAATGTCAATTTCCTGCCAGGCATGGTAGTACGTATCTGTAATCCCACCACTCAGCAAATGGAGACAGAAGAATCCCAAACTCTAGGCCAGTCTAGGCCAGCCATGGCTACACATGGAGTTCCAGGTCAGCCTGGGTTTCAAAGCAAAACCCTGCCTTTAAAAAAAAAAAAAAAAAAAAAAAAAAGTTGGCCATGATAAAGGATTAACACTAAACCTAGTGAATAGGGGCTTACTAGTCAGACACATGTTATGAACTGGCTATATACTACTTGGTTTGTTTTATCATCATATCTATGCCTGCTTTCCATTTCCACTGCTATTACCCCATTCCCAGTCTTTATCTACTCACATCCAGACCTCTTAAAATGATCCTTCTCCACCCTCAGACGTACTTTAACCAGACTAGTAGTCTACTTCCACCACAAATTCCCAGCTGGTATAGGGAGAAGTAATGAGGCTAAAAATCAGACAATCTGAGTTTGGGTTTTAGATTTATTACTAAGACAAGAACACCAAACCCGCCAGCCATCAGGGGTTCACCTATAATCCTAGCTACTCAGGAGGTAAAGATCAGAAGGATTAAGGTTTGAAGCCAGCCCAGGCAAATAGTTCACGAGACCCTATGTTGAAAAACCCATTACAAAAAAGGGGCTGGCGGAGTGGTTCAAACAATAGCTGCACCTGCCTGACTAGCGTGAGGCCCTGAGTTAAAACTTCAGTAACAAAAAAAGAAAGAAAGAAATCTAAATTTGTTCATCTGAAGTGAGTTTTAGATGAAATCATCTTTAATATATGGCTCTCGTCTGATCAAAAATTGCCTCTGGCTTACAAAATAAAATTCCAAATCAGAGCAGCATTAAAGCCTTCCACATTTGGCAGAGTAGATGAAGAGCATGAGTTCTGAAGCCAGAAAGACCAAATTTGAATCCTGATTCTTTTCTTTACTGGTCATTTATCCTTGAACATGTTTTTGGTTTTTTTTTTGGAACTACTAAGATTTGAACTCAGGGCCTACATCTTGAGCCACTCCACAGCCCTACTTTGTGATGGGCTTTTTCAAGATAGGGTCTCGCCAACTATTTGACCAGTTTGGCTTTGAACACAATCCTTCTGATCTCTGTCTGCTGAGTAGCTAGGATTACAGTCATGAGCCACTGGTGCCCGGCTATCCTTTGACAACTTAATAAACTTCTATGAGACTCAGTTTATTCTTCTACATAATAGGAATAGAATAATTATCTCACAGGCCTTTTATAAGAATTAAAGTAGATATCTGTTAAGTTCTAAGGACATGGTGAAAACTGAGTATGAGATCTGGGCATATTCTAACCAATCTCCTGTCACTTCCTTCTAGTTCCAGGTTCCTGGAGACCTACAACTATGCTTCAACAGAAACAATTGTGCAGGTCCCTTCCTCCTTTTTTTATATATTGGGGTTCAATATTAAAAAATACTGAGAGAGATTTTCTGCTTAAAAAAAAAGTATGAAATCCACTGCGTAATAGGCATTCTCTGTTCCAACTAGCAATGAGCACTTTAGTCAACTACAATTACCTTATATAAAGCATAAATTGGCAGGGCACCAGTGGCTCACACCTGTAATCCTAGCTACTTGGGAGACTAAGAGTGGGAGGATTAAGGTTTGAGGCCAGTCTAGACAAATAGTTTACAAGACCCCATCATCAAAATAACCAGAGCAAAATGGACTGGAGGTGCAGCTCAAGTGGGAGTGCCTACTTTGCAAGCATGAAGCCCTGAGTTCAAACTCCAATCCCACCCAAAAAAAAAAAAAAGTCAAAGGCAGCCAGGCATAGTTAACTGATCAGGTCTGCAGTCACAGAACTTAGGAGGCTGAGGCAAAGAATTTAGAGTTCGAGGCCAGGGACTGGGACAGCTCAATGGTAAAGGTCATGCCTAGCATGCCCAAGCTTGGGTTTAATCTCCAGCACTTTAAAAATAAAGAAAAAACAACAACAATAAACCTGACAGCTCAGCCTGGACTACATAAAGAGATCCTCTCTCAAGTGGAAAAGAAAAAAATAAATAAATAAAATAAAGGCTCAACAGAACCCGCATCTTACTAAATCCAATTTGTGCATTACTAAATATGCTTGCTTTTGACAAATGTATAAAGACTCTCAGCTCCATTTAATTAGCAAAGAATAGAGGCTTTTCTCCCTAGGCTACATGAGTTCTGTGTATAAACTGTTTTTTTGATTTTTTGAGATAGGTCTCACTATATAGCTCAGACTGAACTCAAACACAAGATCCTGCCTCCACTTTACAAATGCTCGAATTACAGGTGTGTGTCATCATACCCAGCCTAACTAAACCTTTCTGACAATCCATACCTTGCTCTGTGATTCAGGGGAGCTACATGTTTGCTGTCCTCCCCTAATCCATTCCTATTTTCAGTTTCAGCTTTTTCTGAAAAGGAAAAGGTATAAAGTAGAAACACTGATCTCAAAGTCAGGCTTATACTCAGCAGCTGTATGACATCTCCCAAACTGCTTCACTTCATAAAACAGGCTATACAGATACCTACCTCATTAAATAGGACAATGAGAAATATTTAGATTTTAGACCAATATTTGGTCCATAATAATTATGTACTGTCACTTTCTTTTATCAAAATAAAACATAAATTTCAAAGGGAAGTTGGACAACTTCACTTTTGCAAAGATTCTATCCAGAAAAATGTATGTTGCTGTAATATTAAAGGAAAACTATTTTATTTCAGGCAAAGCATGATTTTTTTCCTTAAGAAGTTAGTGAAGCTGGAGATGTAGCTCAGTGGTAGTCAGAACATTTGCCTAGCATGCCCTGAGTATGATGCCAGCAGCAAAAAAAAAAAAAAAAAAAAAAAAAAAAAAAGCTACTCAGCACCCAAGCCTATAGTCCCAGCTACCCTAGCTGAGATCAGTTCAAGATACCCTGTTTCAATACAAACGAACAAAATTTTACAAGAAGCTTATAGGGATTTGGAGGATAGCTCCATAATACAGCACTTGCACAATATGCATGAGGTAGTGGGTTTGATTTACGGCACTACCAAAATAAATAAAAATTAAGAGGTAAATGAAATTTTAAAGATTTGGGGGAGACAATGACAGAGGAGATACTGGGGATTAAACACAGGACCCACTGCTTGAGCTATGCAGCCAGCCCTTTTATTTTCATTGGGTTTTTAGCCCAGGCTGGCCTCAAACACCTGGTCCTCCTCCCTTTACTTCCTGA